TTATCTAAATTTTGAATTCTTATTCATTCTACCTCTACACCATCTTTCCCATCCAGCTTGTTTTCTCCATTCACATCAAAATCACTCTGGGTGGCTTAATGAGAGAGCACTGGACTTAAGAGTCAGGGAGGCAAGTTAGAATACTGCCTTAGTTACTCATTTAGCTATGTGACCTTGGACAAGTGACTTAGCCTTTTTCTACCTCAATTTCCTTATATGTAAAATGAGGATAAAATAACACTTAACTCCTAGGGTTGTTAAAAGGGAAACAAATAAGATAATATATGTAAAGTGCTTTGCACACTTTAAAGATTAGCTATAATCAATCATCTCTCTTGAATCTAAAATTGACTATGGTGAAGGGGTGGGAAAAGGTCTTTGAAGAGAAAAATAATCTTCATAGACTGATTCCAGTGATCTCATTTAGGATCTGTGTAATATTGGCCTTTACTAGGTGAGTGAGTGAGTGTGTGTGTGTGTGTGTATGTGTATGTATGTATGTATGTGTATCTGATTGTTGGGCTCATGCTATCTGATCAGGAATAAATTTGGCATATAGTTTGTTTATCAACTGATACTGGGGCCTTTCAGCAACTAGGCAGCCTTTGACACAGTCATTTAGCCCAGTGACAAAATCTTTAGTTTCCTTTATATTTTGAAACATTTTTTATTTCAAATAGTCGTCTAGGTCTCAGGCTGAAGGAGTTTTGTAGTTTGTCTGATGTTTTTAGATGTTCTAGAGATTTGATCACTAGTCTTTTGTTGTTTCTCATTTTAATGGCGACGATAGTCTGTAGCCTGTAGGCCTAGACTTCTGCCTAGTATGATTCCTTTCCCTTAATTTTCACTGTGGGAATAACTTTAGGCACATATGCTAATGGGCATGTTTAGTGAATTAGTACTATATTGTGTTACTTCATAAGTACCTTATTTAGAAGGTGAAGTAAGTGAATGGGAACTTAAGCAATTTCACTCTCACCACAGTCCCCTCTTCCCTACCTCCCAAAGTGGTATATACAAAACATGGCTAAACAAAATTAGTGATGTCTATTCCTGTTTAACACATCAATGGGCTCTTGTAGAATGGCAGCTTTTGTGAAAATAAATTTGAGGGTTGCTTTTTTCATCTTTTTTTTGTGTGTGTTTTCTATAACCAACTTCAGTCCAGAAATGATAGATTTGATACTCTCCTTTGTTTTAGTAATTATATGGTTGTTTACAAGAAGAAAGAAAGAAAGAAAGAAAGAAAGAAAGAAAGAAAAAGAAATTGCCCCTTGAGGAAGGATTGACTTTTAGAATTGTTTATTCGTGTAAGAGATAGTTTTATCTTGATATCATTTCTAAGTTCAGTATTTGGGTGCTATTTCTTTAAGATATGAAGGGATTTGTTTTTAAGTGTGATATTTGCATTATTGCTAATTTATTGACCTCATATGTATTAAAAATTTATCTAGTTCATTGAGGGGAGTTAATACTGAATACATACTTACACACACACATATATATGTATATATGTGTGTATGTATATACACACACACACACACAAATAACCTTACGCTGTTCTTTCTTTGCTTATTTAGTCATTCATAAATTGGAACAATTGGGCAGCTGGGTTGCGCAGTGGATAGAGTCCCCATCCTGAAGTAAGGAAGACTCATCTTCCTTGAGTTCAAGTCTGGCCTCAGACACTTACTAGCTGTGGGACCCTGGGCAAGCCACTTTACTCTCTGCCTCAATTATTCATCTGCAAAATGAGCTGGAGAAGGAAATGACAAACCACTTAAGTATCTCCGCCAAGAAAACCCCAAATGGGGTCATGAAGAGTCAGATACTACTAAACAACAAAAAATAGTAACAATGAGGCCAATGAACACAGGGGTCTCAAACTTGCTGCTTAAATACAACACAGCAAAACAAAATAAAAACCTCCAATTTTCTTTTAAGCCATCATGTTGTATTATATCATACTGCCTAAGTTTTCCCACCTAAAATACTTTGGACCTCACAAAATTATTATAATAAGACATACATTATTGTGTGTATTTGTGTTGAAATGTTATATGGGAGATATGAAGTGGAACAAACCATGAATTTTAATTCAGAGCACCTCAATTGAAATTCTAGGTGTATTACTTTAGTACCTGAGTAACCTTTGGCAATTCACTTAATCTCTCTGGACCTCTGTTTCCTGACCTATAAAATTCGGGGAATGGACTCAATTATCTCCAAGGTGGTTTTGATCTCTAAAACTAATAAGCCTGTGTTGGCTGCTGTTCCGGGTGCTGCAAACAAGAGGAGCTGAGATAGTGGGACTGGCAATGTAGGAATTCATTATTGTGAAGTTAATGTTCATATTGAGGATTCTAGTCAAGGTCCAATTTGACAAAAGGTGTTTATAGGATAGTTTCTCCTGAGTGGTTTTTAATTAACATTTCTGCCCTGCTCCTTGCAAACAAACAAACAAAAAAAGTAAAGGGAGGGAATAGGAGAGGAAAGGAATAAAAGAAGGAATCCCATGGGCACCAAACACTGATGACTTCACAGTGTTGCCTATTGTCTGGCCTTTGGATGTTAATTTATGTTTAGATTCCCAGAAGCTCTAAGTCCAACTTTGGTAACATTCCCCTGCCTTCATTTTCAGTTACCTCCATAGTGACTTATTTTTTCATTCCTTCCCTTTCTCTTCTATTAGAACCTCAATATTGTATCTGTAGAATTCCTCCCTCTTCATTACTTGACTTCTAAAAAGATAATTTATTATACATCAGATACCTCCATTTTGTCACAACTAATTCGCTTGTTAGTCCTTTTCACTCTAAATTCCATTCCCATCACCTTAGTGAACTGGCTGATTTCAAGGTTACTTTTCTCCTAAATCAACTAAGCTCAGGTCACTTCTTAGTTGTCTAATTATAGAATGATAGAATCATGTATCTGGAACTGGAAGGTGCTCTAGAGGCTGTGTTACTAGCACATACTAACTTAATACATGCATAGGTCATCTTCTATGTCTTTAACATACTTCTGCATATCTTCCAGTTAAAATATTTTTCATTTAAGTACTCTTCCCTGTTACCTTCCTAGGAAGCTATGCTACATAGTGGATGGAACACCATCTGGGCCTGGGGTCAGAAAGGCCTGATGTCGTATCTGGCCTCAGAGACCTAGCTGTGTGACCCTAAGCAAGTCAAACTTAACCTTTGCCTCAGTTTTCTCAAGTATAAAATGAGGAAGTTGGTCTTGAGGACCTTTGAAGACTACTAAATCTATGATCCAAACAGCCTGTATCCCTTCATTCAATACTTTGAATATGTACTTAAAATATATTTTCTTACTTGAATGGTTCAGATTAAACAGATGGTCAAATAAATATATAAACAAATGTGTATATTCCCTTGAGATTTTGATTAAACTATTTTGGCAAAGTAGCTAAGAATGAAGATACTGCTCTTTTAAAGTTAGAGAGAATTTCCAGAAGAAGAAATTATTGTGTTCTGTTTTTCTGAAGTTAGATATTCATGAAAGGGAAGATTTTTTTTTATAGGGTGGCTTTGTAAACCAAGTGGCTTCAAACTCAAGTAGTTTTAAAAATCCAGTAACAACATCCTCAGTGAAACTCAGAGATTTAATTACATTTACAAACAAGCCAAAAAAAATTTGCCATAGATTTGGCACTTAACTTTGCTCTATTTACTACCACAAAATCTGTATAAAGGGTGAGATGTGTTGTGGAACATTGCCCCTTCTCCAGAAGAGGCTTTTTAACCTTAAGTTTCACAAAGAGGTTATACTGTTGTGGTTGATCTGATTCTGAATTTTTCCTCTTTTTTATTCCCTCCTCATGAGATCCAAGAAAGCTATTATTGCAATTACAAATATTGTTTCACTTTGTGACTTTGTGTGACAGATGGCTAAGATTATTTTATTAGTTCTCTGATTGACGCGATTTCAACCAAAAAAAGAAAAGCTTGGTGGGCAATTATGATAGCTGTTAAGGCAGCTGTCACTTCTGGTAATTTGATATTAACTGTTTTTCTTTTCCCCAAATGTTTTTCTAAGCAGCTGTAAAACAAAACATCAGAGAATTAGTAAAAACTTGAAGTGTCATAAATATGACCTGCTTCTGGGATAGAGGAAACTTAAAATCTGGATATATTGGTGAAAAGTATATATGTATATATATACATATATGTATAAAACATGAAAATATGCTATTTCCTATATAAAATATAAGAAAATATGTGTGTATACATATACATATATTTATACACATGCATACACATATATATTAACCTTTTTTTGCTCTCCTTTGCTGTTGTAGGAAAACTCTGTTGGGGTTCTTGGGGGATAAACCAATAGAGAGACAAATTGGTGAAGCATTCTGAAATCTGATATAGCCATTGGTGTGGTAGATGAAACTCTACTATTTCTCTGGAAAGCTTCAGCCTAAAATGTATAAAGAGTACAAAAACAGTGGCACTGCCAGAAAACAGCTTAGTTTTCAAAAGTATTGCATAAAATGGAGGCTAAATCTACTCTGTGGGAAAAATTATAAGACAACAACTTGTTGGGACATTTTTTTTTCTTGCTAACTTTGCTTGTCCAGTGTTGGAAGTGTCCACATCAAAAATAACTTTTTGTTACTATTTCAGGCATCAGTCCAGTATGGGTAATAGGTGAAATCCTAGAGAATAAACCAATTACTCAAATGATAGGGATAATATTTGTTGATAACCCACTCTATTGAGAGAATAGGTAGATATTATGAAATTGAGACGATTAATAAATCACTGGGTCATGTGCATGTGTAATGGTCTTAAATATAACAAATCTCTTTAAATATAACATATGGCAGTGAGTCCTTCATATTTTAAGCACTGGCACAAAATTATTTCTTTGCTAGATTGGAAACTAGTATTACAAAATAATTAGTCAATCATGAGCTTGGATTGCAAATTAACTCCTTTTTTTTTTCTTCTTTTCCTTTCTATCTTGAGCAGGTTGTAAAGTTATTAAGCAACAAAAGATCACAAGCCGTTGGAATATTAATGTCAAGCCTTCATTTAGATATGAAAGACATACAGCATGGTAAGCACAGACAAATTCAACTTTAAAGTAGCATGTCTGGATAAGTAGTATCATTTTTTCATGTCATTGTATATCAACTAACCTTTCCCAATACTTCCCATGAATATTATTGGATTATCTAGTTATATATTTCTGATAAATGGTATTTGCTTTCTTTCTCTATAGTAGGCTTTTGTCTTTTTTTTTTTGCCAGATACATTTTGTGTGCGTGTGAGTGTGTATGTTTGTGTGGTGTGTTGAACTTCAGTAACTTAAACTTGCTAAGTGCCAGATTCTCATCCTTCATCATGAGACTGTTTTAGAAAGAGAAGAAAGGAGATGGGCAACGAAGAGAAGAAATAATCCCACTTTTCTTTGCACTAATTAGGCAACATATAAATTATTATATTCAGTGTTGGCTTCCTTGATTTCAACAGGCTACTAGGGATAATTCAGAGGAAGGAAACAAAAATTATTAAGGATCTAGAAGCCATACAGCAAGGGGAATGGTTAAAGAACTAAGGATTTTAGCCTGGAGAAAAGAGAGTGTCATGTCTTCAAATATTTGAAAGATTCTCATGTAAGAGAAAATATAAGGTAGATGGGACCTCAGTGGACTTGATCTCATGTGTTTTCGAGAGTAGAATGTAAGCAGATGGGTGGGATTTACAGAAATGCATGTTTTGACTCAGTATTAGGAAGAACTTTATAATATTTAGAGCTGTACATCAATGGGTTGGGACACCTCATGAAGCAGTGAGTTTCCTATCCCTGGAAATGTTTAAACTGTGCTGGATTTTATCAGGAATGTTGGGAGAGGATTCCTACATTGGAAAGAGGACTGAACTAAATGACCTCTAATGTCCCATTTGATTCTAAAATTTTATGATATGAATTGGAAATCCTGTAGAATTGAAGGAGAAATGACTCATAGTCAGCAAAGGAAAGTTATCCTTTATAACTGTGGGGAAATTTTCATTGCTTTTATATTGGGGACCTGGATGCATTTACCCAGTACCCAGAGATGGGCACAATGTAAGCTCCTTGGCCTTTTGCTATAGCAAGAATGCATTGCTCTTTCAAACAAGCATCACAGATGGTTTCTCAGTATTAGCCATTTTATGTTATTGCTGGTGATCCACACACATGGAAGCAGTAATTTCATGACCTTTTGTAATTTCTTTTATGTTGTTTTTTTAACTTAAATCTTTAATTGGGTTTATAAAATAGTTTCTATGTTTAATATTAGGGTCACATTTATAAGTTCTAAAGGGTTTTGCCTTTAATATTTTTATAATTAGCTTTTAACCTTATTTAATTCATAATTTTGCATATAAAAACTAAGCATTTCTTTGCCTATCTCCATCACATTCATGCCAAAGGATATCGGTGCACAAAGGTGAAGAGAGGAATTAAATTTATAGTCAGAAAGTCCCTTAAGCTACCCAAAGGCTCAGAATAGATTTAAAGCAGATTGGACTGTCCTGTAGAGTACCAGCCTACCTATTAAATAAATATGGTTTCAAGTATAACACAGACTTTATAAATCATGAAAACATTTTACTGGCTTTCTAGATTACTCTGTTTTAAACATGAATTCTCTTTGCTGGACTTAAAATATTATGTGGAATAATTCATAAATAGCACAACTTGGGTATATTCTCTCAATTGATGAGTAACTCTTAATCACAATTTAAGTTTTTATTAAATTGTTTTGATGGTGCGGAGACTTCCTCAAGCTGAAACATTTAGGGTGGTAGTCATAGAGCAAGACGCCAGGGCTGGCGCCAAGAAGTACTTGGTATTTCTAAAACTGGCAGATGTAGTCCAGTTAAGTCATAGAGTGAAATCTGAAAACAATGATATGGTCCTTTCCTTCAGTCAAATATTCAACTTGGTTTGAGTTAATAATGAGAACCTTATGAACAAAGGAGTCCGCCTAACATCTGTGTCTGTGGTAAAGCCAACACAAGTTCATTGAAAATTTGCTAGCTTAACATGCAACACTAACAATAACATGGCATGAATGTCAGTAGTTGATGGGGTCATACAGTATTATACTTAACCTTTATCCTATTAGAATAAGAAGTGTTTGCTCTTGTCTCTTCTAAAGCTTGCACACCACTTTTGCAAGGAATGGTTGTCTTAAAAGGCAATGGTCATTTTGGAATAAGTTTGGCTTTCCATAAAAGAGGTACTTTTGATTTCCAGCTTGTTTGAAGCATCTTTATATATGCGAATGAAGTATGGTTCAACTATAGCTTTTCATTTAGTTTGACATCTAGAAAGCTCTTCTGGGATTAGAAATCATTGCCTCTTAGAAACAATGAATTTTAGAACTGAGGATGTCCTGAGAAATCATCTAATCAAACTCTTTCTACTTTATCAGTGGTTTCTGTTACAGGAGCTATGGAGTTGTTGTGAGAGGTTCTCAAATTCATTTGTGCATCAAGCATTGTCATTTTGTTACTATGTGATTTTACTCAAAAACTACCAAGCTAATATCTGTGTCATTAGAAAAGGGTCCTTATATACCAAAAAAAGTTGGGAACTACTGTTTTATACCATATTTCCTCTCTCAAAGATATATACATCACTTCTTTAAAAAGCAATATAATATCAACTCACATCCATATAATGCTTTAAGTAATAAAAAAGTTTTTTTCCTAATAGCATGCTGAAAATAAACTGTATGTGAAATGTTATGGTGCATTTTTTTTCAGTATCCCTGAGGTAAAAACAAAAGCAAAAAAGAGCTCAAAGTTAAATCAGCTATGGGAGTACCTTATCTCAATTTGCCTTATTTTGTAGAATTGTATTTGCTAGTGATATTACCTAAAAACATAGATACTCAAAACAGTAATAGCCTAACATAACATATTCTTTCCATAAACTGAATATGATTTCTATTCCACAACACTATTTATAAGGGGATATATAGTGCAAATATTCTAAACTGAAAGGGAGCAATTACCTTTGTATAGCTTTGTTAATGTGGCATTGAGGACAACTAGAAAGCCTTTTTGAGCCGTCACTGCAGAAGGAGACATCGGCTTAGTGGTCTTGTGTAAAGAGCAGGATCAGGGGATCAGGAGATCTAGGTTCTAATTCTGGCTCTGCCTTTAGTTGTGTGACCTGTGCAAAGCACTCTGGGCTTAAGGTTCTTTATTTGTAAACTGGAGTCTTGAGATGGATTGGATCAAATAATCTTTTATTTCTTTCACCTCTAAAATTATTTGACTAATAATGAAGATGATGATGATGATATTTATATAGCACTTTATGGTTTGCTTGCAAGGTGCTTTACATATGTTATTTCATTTGATCCTCACAACATTATCAACATTAACAATATTACTATCCCCATTTTATAGATAAAGAAATTGAGGCTGAGAGATTAAATGAGTTACTCAGAATTATACAACTAGTAAGTGCTGAGGTCAAATTTGAACTCATGTCTTTGTGACTCCAGGTTCAGCTCTGTATCCACTGCTCTGTCAAGATCCCTCTGGTTCAATGATTAATCCAGCTTGATCAGGCTGGAGTTACAGACTTAGCCTGAGCAGATTCGAATGTTTACAAGAAACTTAGGTGAAACTAGAGATAAAAGGGCTTAGAGTTCAAGCTTATTTGTGTTTTTGCTGTCTCTTATTTGAGCTAGTGTGGACTTTCGCTAGTACTCTGGAATGCCATGGTATTGCATATTATATGGGAACTAACTGTGTGATGCTGGGCAAGTCACTTAACCCTGTTTACCTCAGTTCCTCATATATAAAATGAACTAGAGAAAGAAAGGGCAAACCACTCCAGTATCCTTTGTAAGAAAACCCCAAATGGGGTCACAGAGAGTCAAACACGGCTGAAATGACTGAACAACAACAAAACAGGAACATGAAAGGTAAATAAATACCACTTAAGTCTCATACTTGTGGTTGGTTGGTTGTCCTTCATTCATTAATAGCTTATAGGAGGCTATTAAATGTTTATTGAGATGGATATATAGTGAATTTTCATTGTTTATAAGAATTATTTACCTAAAATGAATGAATCATCATATACTCATATATTTGCACATGTACTTGTTCAGTATAAAGTCGGTCTTTTTATTGTTATAGTTATTTTTATATTAAAGTATTTATAAGGATCTTGATATCTACATTAATTATTAACTCCCTTGGTATACCCAAACCATAGGGACAGAATAGTTTTTTTAGTTGTGATTTTTGTGCTCATAAAAAATATATTGTTGAAGGTTATATCTTTTACCTAAAGAACTCCTGTCTCTGTCTCTCTCCATATATATGTATATACATATGTTTACCTATATGTGTATCTATCTATTAATGTATCTATACCTCTCTATATAAATAGATATATATCTTGTACAAATATTGTAAGTAGAAGATGAGTTAGTCTGGAATTAAACATAAGGAGGCATGTGGGCTTTTTTGTATTTGAGAAATTTCAAATTGCCTTTAGGGAACCCAAAATTCTCCCTAGAACAAAGGCCTATTTGTTTAATATTTGTATTCGAATCAGTGTTGTGGTATGGGTGCAAGTCATGAAACGTTATAATTTTGTAAGAGTTAAAAATGAGAATCACTCAGACTAGTGTAGAGACTCATGGTGTGAGCAGGCTGTAACATATAACACAAAGGAACTACAAAGAAGAACCTGAGTAAAGAATGTCATATGATTGGTAAAGAAAATTATAGGCTAGTTATACATGAAAATAAAGTCTGGATAGCATCTATAAACTCTGGTATCCTTACAGTTTCAAGAGAAAGCATGGAAAGTATACTTTGGATGGGCGTCCATGGCACACTTGTTAGGATCAAGGACAAGAGTAGCACAGGATGGATGGATATGGATGAGTTGTGATTTGAATCATTGGAGGGGACATTTGTATTGGAAGAATGGTAGAGCCATCTGAATATTTGTAAATTTATATCTTATATAACACAAACTGCTTATGTAACAAAAATATAACCACGTTTATGCTGAAAAAGCACATACTCAGA